TTATGAGGAGGTATGGCTTGAAGATGCCCTCCTTCTCTATCTTGTTCAGTACTAACGGCATTCTTGGGAGTCATGTCGGGGGCATTCCTATGTAGCCATAAGTGTTCGTCACAGTATCTTTGCATTGCGTATGTATGACCATATCAGAGAGACAGGCGGCGCACGCTATTATGCGATGCTCCGGTGTCTCTACCGTCATTCGAGGCGCCTCATTTTCATCTACGGCTTCTATGTGAAAGTGTGGCTGAGGCCTCTCATGTTAGTAAGTAAAGCAAGTCCATGTTACATTTCTCATGACCATCTTTCTCTTAGTCACCTTCGTATTGCATATACCATGTTCTCGCTGGTTTGCGTCGCCCGTGCTTTGCGCGGCATCTTGCGACGCATGTCATTTTCCAAGGATACAACATAGCGCTTGGTAACCCTTCTTAGATTGCATTCTGTCATTTTCTCGTTTTGTGTTGCCCATTGTTGCACGCATTTTCGAGGCATCTCATTTTCATAGATTGCGGCATACTAGGCTGGTATCTTAGTTGTGCATTCATGCATATCATGCATTATTGCCATCGTGTTCGGGACCAGGAGTCAGCCGGGCACGGGAAACGAGGTGGCGTTTTCGTAACTCTCGAGTGACGGAACGTGTCCCAATTCGCCAGTCATCGACACTCTGATTACCCATGATGGAGTATAGGTTTGGTTGTGTTTATACGTGGTCATTCATCCTACATTAAATTGGTGCAATTCCGACTCCTCGGCATCTCCATGCTCCGGTATGCGTGACTTGGTGCAACGAGGATTCGAGACTGCCATATATCTGTGCAATCATTGCTCTATGCCCTTTTCTGCTCTCTGCTTGCAACAAAACGAGACGAATCAGAAATGTGTGTTTGGGGCTTGGCAACGCTTATCAAGTACAAGTGTAAACAGAGGCTAATTGGGGCAAATTCGCGGTGGAATTAATTTTCCGCGCAAGACCAACCCGGACAATATGCATCATCTCATCAGAAGCAGCGCCATGTCCCTGAGACTTGTGCATAGCGAGAGTTTCTTATATATTTTCTTAGTTATATTGTTAATTATTAGGATTTAGGTAAATACTTTTGGACTGTAATATTCTTTCATTGCGGGATTGTATATTTGGATCTGTATTATTTATTAGGACCCTCTGACGCCGAGCGGCACAACTGTAAATAGTGTGCGTGAGTGTGATTGTATGCTCTTCGCACCCCACGTCTTTCTTCCCTTTTTATTTCAAATCCCGCTTATGATGGTTAGATTTAATCGGGCCATATTTTCAATTAGCATACAGGTAATGACAAGCATGCTTTGCATTCCATTCATCAGTTTTATTGGCATGCACCGGCGGCTCGGCGCTATCCATACTAACTGCATTGTATTTTCAATTCTAAATTGAATACATGTAGTGTAGCAATCTTCTCATAGAAGCGCATCTTAGAAATATGGGCCGAGCCTGCTATAGTTGCATTTTTGCAAATGTGTGCTTAGACATGTTCTGTATACTTAGGATTCAAATGCATGATTTCTAAAATGAGTTTCTATTTTGGATTGGAGTACTCGGTTAAGCTTTATGGCCTTTAGACAATCCTTGCATGCGTGTGAGTGCTGCCCATGAATAGCGATGCTTACCAATGAGACTATGTGCTTATATGGATGATACAACCGATTGCACAATTGTCATCCGTGATCGCGAGGTTCCAGGTTGGGATTAGAAAATCGAGGATTAAACTAATGGTCGAAAGTATGTGGAATCACGCAGAAAGAACTTGCCTTTAGGAGACATCACCTCTGTTTCTCTTAGGAAACATCTGTCTACAACTTAGACTCAGTGAGTTGGGCCACACAACATCTTTTCTAAGCCCACCTCTCTGAGGGTGGTCAAAAACAGGGCGGACTTCAGGGCATTAAAAATAGCCCTAGCGGTGCGCAGTAGCACTCAACGAATACACCATCTAGGGCTAATGTTCACAAAGAAACTATATTCACATGAATGATACGATTGATCTCCGTATCATCGGAAGTCAGGAAACGAGATACGCTCGTACTGATACTATAGCGTTTTTATGGATGTGAATCTCGCATATGCGACAGAAGAGAAGAAACCTAGGCTGAATACCACCAGTGCATTTCGAATAGAAAACCAGAACAACCATTATGTTTTTCAAAAATAGAGCTATAAAACATGGGTTAGTTAGAGGCCGATTGCTTTATTTGTGATCCACAAGCGAGCGGAGGGTGCGCGAGGAGATATGCTCTACAAAAAGGATGAGGATTGAGAATCCTCTTCTAATCGCGTGCTTCTATACTGCGTTGAGGGACCGCGCCAAGAAGCTTCTCGCACGTCGTAGGTTCTTGTAACACATATGGCATTGGGAGTGCATGACGAGGCACAATCGAAGATGGCCTGTAGCGAGAGGTCCAAATCCTACTCAGAGCAGATTGCTCCTCCGGCATTACTCAGGAATGGAGTCTAAAGAAGTGTCCTGCGGGAAGGTGTCTTATATTCGGAAGGTTCATCCCAGCACCTTGCAGAGTATCTCTGCCCCTTTCGGTTTCAATTGTGTAATAAGAGAATCAAAGTTCGAGTGTGAAATCCAAGGAGCATCCCAAACAAGGCCTTTGAGCAGAATCAAAGGCGGCCCTTGACCTCGCCTCAGACCATGATAGCCCCGCAACTACCGGGAGTAGCCATCAAAGTTTGTACTAACTATCAACCTCCCAAGGTCATAGGTAGAGCAGTTATTGTCCGAGAGCATATAGAGCATGGATGTAGCAACGCACCTGGTGTATTACAATCGAGGTCGGAAGATTCGAGGACGCAGTCAAGTCCCGATATACTCCGGTAGAGGAGAACATTGTTTAAGCAACTATTTGGTACATGTTCACTGCCAAAAGCTCAGACATTACTTCCTAGCACCATCAGAATTGTCAGATTGTCTACGAGATTTAGTTGAGTCACACTCTCGAACTATCCTCCTCTATCTAAGCGCTCTCTCACTATAACACGAGAAAGAGTGGCAAGAATGGTTTATTAACTCACTGTGTGGATTCCGAATCACATGTGTTATGCCCCAAGTGCGGATCAAATCAGCACCTTAGCTGAACTCAACTTGCCGCAAATATCCAAGTGGTATGACTATGAACCAGTGAATGTTGCCAAGAAGTGTAAGATAGTGAGTAGGTGGGACACGCAGCTATCTTTCCGGTAGGTATATAGCCTTCTGAGGGACATTGAGACTTATGCAAACGGAGCAGCAGCCGGATGGAAGGGAGGAACCGTGATAGTAGCCTTACAAGCAAAAGTCTGGTGGAAAGGTATAATCTTTGTCTTATCAAACACTGGATTTCGATAATGGTTCGCACATAGAGACGAGAGCTGAGCTGATTAGCGAGAGCTCTTGATGTTTAGGCGCTCCCTACGACGCGAGCCGTGAGTAAGATCTTCATAGTTCAAGAAGATTCGGATCGGGGTGGACTTCACCAAAGCTGATTAGATCAGGTTGATAGTGAAGCAAGTTTCAGGACAGTTCGTCTTAAAGGAGCCTGCCTTGGCCACATATCGAACAACAGTCCAAAGGCTTCTTGACAAATTTCAGAAGGTCGAAATAGAGCATGTGCCTCGCTCCGACAACAAGTTTTCAGATGCCCTCGCAACATTAGGGGCAAGAGTTGACATTCCAGAGGAAGAGGCAACAATTGTTATCAAGAAGAGAACAGAACCTTCAATAATAAGTGGATTCTCGCAGCCACAGAATTGAGTACAAAGTGGGTCGAAGCAATTCCTCTGAAGAACGCTACGGGGCCTGCAGTTGCGAACTTCATCAAGGAGAATATCATTTGCCGATTTGGAGTACCAAACACCATCCTCTCGGATAACGGCACTCCCTTCATAAACAAATATGTGAAGAGCCTCCTAGAGACTTACCAAGTGAAGCATCACAAATCCACACCCTACTATCCAAAAGGGAACGAGCAAGCGGAAGCCATAAACAAGACACTGATAAGGATTCTGAGCAAGATGATGGATGAGTTTGGGGGGACTTGGTCCGAACAGTTGATAGTAGCCCTATGGGCGTATCGCACTTCGAAGAGAAAGCCAACTCAAGCAGCTCCTTACTCCCTTGTGTATGGGTCCGAGGCAGTGTTACCTATAGAGTTGGAAACGCCATCTGCTCGAATGGCTCTCGCCTCGGGGATGGTATTGGAGCCTCGAACCACCAGATTGGAAGCATTAGAGGAAAAGCATGACAGAGCTGCAAAAGTCATGGAAAGGTATCATGAGTCTATCGCCCGAGCCTATAACCAGACTGTGGTACCAAGGAAGTTTGAAGAAGGTGATCTAGTATGGAGGATTGTAGACCCAATCATGCGAGGACAATCTTTGCCCAAGTTTTCTCCAAAATGGGAAGGGCCCTACAAGGTGGTTCAGGCCAGCTCAAGTGGGTACTACAAGCTTGTAAGGGTTGAAGATGGCTTCCGAACTGGCCCGCTCAATGCAAAGTTTATCAAGCATTACTACCCATAGTTGGACTCATCTATGTTGAAATTCATTTTCACTTTCTTACTTTGTCTAAAGGTTGTATTTCCCTTGCGTTATGAAGAAGCTGGTTTTCTCTATGGTGTATGTTTTATCCCATCACTTACAGTGAATCTATTATGCTTTTGTCAAGAAAGTTGAAGAACTAATGAGAATATTTCAGCTTTTATATGTGCATATGATTGTTCTTTCCATTGTATCATTCGAAATAAATATTTTATCAAGTAGAATGAGAAAACAATGCGAAAATATCCAAACAACAAAAATTTTGTCATTTCATTGCATTGTCCTAGATAAAACATTTTTATCGAAAGGGGCAAGAAAGTAATGATAAAAAAAAAACTCAATCTTTCCTAAAGACACCCTCGAAGAAGCTGCCCGTCATATCTACATCTGGAGGACAAACAGTAGAGTGTGCCTCTAAAGTCTCCAAGGCCCGAGCATAACCCGACTCAAGTTCACGAAGAGTTGCCTTTATCTCATCTATAGAGGTGCGATAAGAGGCAAGCACAGACATAAGTTCCAGCTGATGACTGGCGTTCGAAGCTATATCCAGGCGCTTCCGAAGCCATGATAAGTCCACTTGGTGACGCTCCATGTTGCTATGATAGCTTATGAAGGCCCGATGATTGAGGCTATCGCCAACCTCGATGACGATGATTGTTATTTGGACGACATCCTCTAGCCAGAGGGTGAGCAAGTTTACTATGGAAGTGCTCTCGATCCAGAGGGCAGAACATTTATGACTCATGGCGAAGATCCCTTTGATCTAGAAGGAGGAGAAGAGTACTATGGAAGAGGACGACACCATGTTTATGTGGCATCTTATTTTGAAGAGACCGAAGAGATGGTTAACTACGAGCCTCCAAGAGCGGAAAAAGATTTGGATCACTATGCCAAAACCTTGCAAGACTGTGTAAAGTTCAAGCAGTTCTTTGACCAGCTTGGACTTTCCAGGGAGGCAAGAACAAAAATCACCAAGTCCATCATTAATATAGTCGAGGCACACCATGAGGAATGCATGTCGACTGAGGGATCTATCCCGAGGAAGGCAAAAGAGCAATCTAGTGCCATTACTTTCTCCGAGACTGATCGGAAGTATCATTTTTCTCACAACCGCCCGCTTTATGTGACTGTTTTTATTAACGGGGTTGAGTTCAAAAGGGCCTTTCTGGATAGTGGAGCCTCTATCAACATTATGACTCGCGCTACTCTAGAAAAGGCCGGAAACTCTGAAGAGCGCATTGTGAAGCAGCCGATAGTCATCACTGGCTTCGGTGGAGAAAGGAGAGTTACTATCGGATGCGTAACAGTTGATTTAGCCGTCGGAGAGATTCGCTCGGCCACCAAGTTCCATATTATCGATTCTGAGGCATATTATCACATTATTCTAGGGAGGACCTGGATGCATAGATATGGGGCTGTACCATCAAGTTATCATCAGTGTGTTAAGGCTAAATGGGGAAAGAAGACGGTGACAATTCAGGCTACAGAAAGGCCTTTCGAGATCCATGAAGCTCATTATTCTGATGCCATCTACTTCACCGAACTGGCTGTCGAAGAAGTTCCCACCACCTCTAAGCCTCGAGGGGTCAAAATTCCTCGTTGGGAGGATATCAAAGATGACAAGGAGCCGATGGCAGAATCAAGTAAGCAGGCGATGTCTAGACTAGAAAGCCCGCCTATTCCTCGGAAGGTGATGAAAGTTCGAGAAGGAGGCAAGATGGTGTACTATTTATGAAGGTGCGGGGAGTCGGTTTCTTCAGTCACCGACTCCGAGTCAAAAGAAGAGCCTCCTGACAATGATATAGTAATAAAGCCTGAAGTGGCTCCAGAATGTATGCAAGATGGGCCGAAGCCTCAGCCCGAACAACTTATTGAAATAGATCTGAGTGATGGACAAGATGCACCGAGGCCGGTATTCGTAAGTTCGAGCCTTAGCCCAGAAAAGCGGGAACAGTTGTTAAAGTTGATAAGCCGATACTCAGATGTGTTTGCTTGGTCATATAAGGAAATGCCCAGACTAGATCCTGACCTAGTCTCCCACTATCTTGATGTATTCCCAAACTCCAAGCCAATTAAGCAAGCTGCTCGAAAATATCATCCAGATCTCAAAGAGAAGATTAAGGAGGAGATTGAAAAACTTCAACAGGCTGGTTTCATCCGGCCAATACAGTACCCCACGTGGTTAACAAACATCGTGCCAGTAAAGAAGAAGAATGGCCAAATCAGAGTATGTGTAGACTTTCGAGATATGAACAAATCTTGCCCGAAGGATGAATTCCCTCTTCCTCACATCGACACCCTCGTAGATACTACCTCGGGACACCAGATGTTCTCATTCATGGATGGATTCAGTGGATACAATCAGATTAAATCCATGTGGAATCGAGGAAGTGAAAGCTCTAGTTAAGGAATGGGTGGCTGACGGAGAGCTAAAATTGCCTTATGTTGAAGAAATGCCATCAAAAAAGGACCGTGAGAGCCCTGAATTTTGTGTCTACCATCGTACATTGAAACATCCGACAGAGAAGTGTTGGACTCTCAGGAAAATCTTCAGAGATAAAGTCGAGGCAGACGAATTGAGGTTCAAAAAGCGAGGGACTCAAGACATCCGAGAACAACCATATCCTCAACACCGAAGTGGGAGATCAATGGGAGAGCCTTGCCATTATTCTATTCTCTAGCCATTTTGCCTTCTTCTTCACCCAATCTCTTATCTCCATCATCTCCTTTATTGTTGTGTTCCTAAGTTGAGATTATTGAAGAATCTAAGCCTCTCATCATATTCTAGAGAATTCGAAGTTGTTCTTCAAGGATCTTCGAAGATCTTCGAATTTTCCAACTCCTTTCTTGAACCCTCTCCTACAAAAAAGAGCCTGCCTTGGCCACATATCGAACAACAGTCCAAAGGCTTCTTGACAAATTTCAGAAGGTCGAAATAGAGCATGTGCCTCGCTCCGACAACAAGTTTTCAGATAAGAAGAGCCTCCTGACAATGATATAGTAATAAAGCCTGAAGTGGCTCCAGAATGTATGCAAGATGGGCCGAAGCCTCAGCCCGAACAACTTATTGAAATAGATCTGAGTGATGGACAAGATGCACCGAGGCCGGGATTCGTAAGTTCGAGCCTTAGCCCA